GAGGCCGCCATGGCGGCCCCTGAAGTGGAGCCCCCCCCGCTCGATGCGGTGCGGGCCCAGTGGGCGCGCGGGGGGGCAGCCTCCTGGCCGGCCCACCGCCCTGGGGCTTGGAGGCCAGGGCAGGCCAGGGGCCTCAACCTCCCCGAGTGCCGCGGCAGTCGGCACGCCCGCGCTTCGCGGGTGGGGCTCGGCGGCGGCTGGGGCTTCGCCAGTGCGCTTCGGCGCCAGCCCGCGGCCCCCCGCCCTCAGCCTCGCCAGCAGTGGCTTGAGGAGGCGGGGCCGCGGGAATGGTGGGCGCCCGTGTGGGTGGAGCTGCCAATCCCGCGGGCGCAGCCGCGCGACGCGTGGTACATGGCGGGCTGGCCAGCCCGCCGCGTGCCGCCCACGTGGTGGGTGCCGATGTGGGGCCCTGGATGGCCTCGCGGCCGCGCGGACCCCGCCCTCGTGGTCCTGCTGTGGCGCGGCGAAGGTGGGGTTGCCAGGTACCTCGGGTCAGGAATCCAACGCCATTCACTCTGCCACATTTCATAAGGAGCTTGCGTTTCGTGGTCCCATAGCGCCCCGAAGGTACCTCCTCTACGACGAGCTCCTGGGGGAGGGCGTCCTGGCGCTGCGCGGCGTTTGAAGGATTGGATTGCGTTTCCTTTTTTTCGGCAATCACAAATCATCATCCCCCCCCCACCCTCCCCCCTCCCCCTCCCTCTCCTCCGCCTCGGGTCTTCTCCTGTACGTGCGTATGCAGTCGTTGTACGTATGTAGTACGTGGGCATCCAGTAGCAAGTTGTGTCAGCAGTAGTAGTGCGTGTGTATCTAGTAGTAGTAGTAGTAGTAGTAGTAGTAGTAGTAGTAGTAGTAGTAGTAGTAGTCGTAGTAGTCGTAGTAGTCGTAGTAGTCGTAGTAGTAGTAGTAGTAGTAGTAGTAGTAGTAGTAGTAGTAGTAGTAGTAGTAGTAGTAGTAGTAGTAGTAGTAGTAGTAGTAGTAGTAGTAGTAGTAGTAGTAGTAGTAGTAGTAGTAGTAGTAGTAGTAGTAGTAGTAGTAGTAGTAGTAGTAGTAGTAGTAGTAGTAGTAGTAGTAGTAGTAGTAGTAGTAGTAGTAGTAGTAGTAGTAGTAGTAGTAGTAGTCGTAGTAGTTGTAGTAGTAGTAGTAGTAGTAGTAGTAGTAGTAGTAGTAGTAGTAGTAGTAGTAGTAGTAGTAGTAGTAGTAGTAGTAGTAGTAGTAGTAGTAGTAGTAGTAGTAGTAGTAGTAGTAGTAGTAGTAGTAGTAGTAGTAGTAGTAGTAGTAGTAGTAGTAGTAGTAGTAGTAGTAGTAGTAGTATAGTAGTAGTAGTAGTAGTAGTAGTAGTAGTAGTAGTAGTAGTAGTAGTAGTTAGTAGTAGTAGTAGTAGTAGTAGTAGTAGTAGTAGTAGTAGTAGTAGTAGTAAGTAGTAGTAGTAGTAGTAGTAGTAGTAGTAGTAGTAGTAGTAGAGTAGTAGTAGGTCCTCCGTGCGTTTTAAACGTCACTTCCGTACACGTTACAACTTACCCAGCTGAGCTGGATCTGGGAAGCCCCCGCGACCGGGGGGATGTGGAACGGGGGGGGGGGCGCAGGGCCCATCTTGATTCCATCGGCCTGGTTCGACGTCGGTCTCGGCAGGCTCGATCCGACCGGATCCCGATGATGCTTCGAGTCGGTCCGGTGCGGCCTGGTGCCCGCACATGGCGCTGCTGTGCATGCTGGCGCGGCCTGTCACGATGCCGAGCCCGAGCTGGTGCGTCCCGGTCTGATGCCAGATCCGATCCCATCCGACGTCTCCATCCGAAGCTGATCGCTGCCTGGGTCCTGCGGGAAGGCTGGGCGTCATGCGAGAGTGCTGTCCGCGCCCCCCCCCGCCCTCCCGACCGTCTTTTGCTATGATTATGGTTTCCTCGGCGCCCTGCTCCTCGCCGCCTCGCCGCCCCTTTGCCCCCCACCCGGCTGGCCCGCGTTCTCGCTCCTCTCCCCCCCCCCCCTCCCCTCCCCCAGCCGGTGCTCTCGCCTGCCGTCCCTCGCGGCCATCGATCGTTCCCCCCCCCCCCCACTGGCCGGTCGGCCGCCGGAGGAGTAGCAGGATCCAGAGGGAGGGGGAGGGAGGGAGGGAGGGAGGAGGGGGAGGGAGGAGGGGGAGGAGGAGGAGGAGGAGGAGGAGGAGAGGAGGAGGAGGAGGAGGAGGAGGAGGAGGAGAGGAGGAGGAGGAGGAGGAGGAGGAGGAGGAGGGAGGAGGAGGAGGAGGAGGAGGAGGAGGAGGAGGAGGAGGAGGAGGAGGAGGAGGAGGAGGAGGAGGAGGAGGAGGAGGAGGAGGAGGAGAAAGAACGAACGCCCCCCTGCGGACGGTTGGACGGTTTGTTTCCATGCCTACACGCTTGGTCTCAAGATGTGTTCTCTATCTGCGGTCGACTGGGGGGTTGGACGCAAGTCAGGAGGGCCGAAAGGGTAACGAATGGACAGATGGTCCCTGCTGAAAGTCTGTCTCCGGCAAGTTCGTCCGAGCTGGAGATGGGCGGTTCTGAAAGCGGACTCAGGTGGCTGGTTCAGCAGCCGCAGAGTGCACGTCTCGCAGCGTTCCCGAGACTGCATTCTCGGGTGCGGGGGCCGAGACGAAATGTCGCAGTGCCTCCAGTGTGCCGCTGCGGCGCCGTGCCGTCCTCAGCAGGGCGCAGGTCGTGACCCCTGTGGGCACCTTGCTCTGGCTTGGCACTGGGAGTCCCGTGGCGCAGGTGCGGCGCGGGGGATTGTGGGAGCTCTCGCTTTTAGGTTGTTGAGGTTATGGCGTTTTTTTATTAGTTTTTGTTTGTTTTTTTTGTTTGTTTTTTGATAGTTAGTATAATCCATCAGGAAACATCCCGGAGGCCTCGCGCGGCGCGTAATGGTCGTATGTATCATCTGGTCCACACGTCAGCCCCGTAAGCCATGGGTCGACGCTCGCGCGGCGATGCTCCGGCGTCAGCCCGACGTACATCTGACGCAATTCCGACGTGGTCCGACGTGAACCCGACGTCAAAAAATCCGACGCGGATCCGACGTACATCGGGTCTCAAGTTGCCGCGCGAGGCCTCCAGGAGTTTCCTCAAAACACGAAGAGAAACACGTTATGCCTCTCTCTCTTGTGATCGTCTTTTATTCGTTGTTTTGCCGATCGGCGCGGGACCCCCAACCCTCCCCCCCCCATGGAGTAGATCTTGGCTGATTTTTGGCGCCTGTTTCGAGCAGGTGGAGTCTTCCCCACTGGACGCCCTGTCGAGAACAGCCGCACTAAGCAGAGGTCTGGAGCCAGACCCCCCCCTCCCCCCTTCCGCCCACTGTTGAAACGCCGAGTAAAAAAACGCTCTCACCTTCGTACCATGCATGCGAGTCCGCGCAGCGCGGGGCGCTGGCGCCGCTCGGCTCTCGCGCTCCGAGCGCAGGTGGCGCCACGACGCGCCCTCGGGCAACGTCGGCTCCCTCCCCCCCCTCACGTCTCGCGCGCGCGCGGTGGGGTCCAGCGGGCTCTGCGTCCTTTGCGTTTCTCCCTCCTCCCTCCTGCGCTCTCCCTCCTCCTTCTCCTCCTCCTCCTCCTCCTCCTCCTCCTCCTCCTCCTCCTCCTCCTCCTTGTCTCCGTCTCCTCACGCTGCCTCCCCGCTCTTCGCTCCTCGCTCCGCGCTCCTACCTTCCTTCGTTGCTCCTCGCTTCTCGCTCCGTCCTCTTCGCTCTCGCCTCCCTGCTCGCCCCCGTTCGTCGCTCCTCTCTCCTCCGCCGTCGTTGCTCGCTGCTCTCTCTCCCTCGTTCTTCCATCTCTCTCTCTCTCTCGTCTCGCCGCCACCCAGAATCCGCTCGAGACAGGTCCAACTGCTCCCCCTCCTGGGTACCACTCTGGCTTGCTTGCTGGACCTCGCCGGCCTCCTCTGCCAGCGGGAGCGCCTCGCGATGGGGGCAACCCGTTGCCTCCGAGCTCCGGCTCCTTCGGCGGCTTCGCCTGCTGGCCCGCCCGCCCCCCCACGCCGCGCGACCCCTCCCCCCCACAGCCCCGCGCCCCTTGGTGGGCCGCCGGGCGCCTGCTGGCACGGCAGGCTGCTCACCGCCTGGCCAGCTCCGGAGCCCCCTCCGGCGACGAGGGCGCGCCGGACCGCCCTCGAGGCCGCTCCTCCGAGGCCGCCTGGCGCTCCGGCCCCTGGCGAGCCCCGGCGCCACGGAGCACCGACCCGCAGGAGCAGAGTGTCTCACCGAGCGCGCTCCGCTACAGCAGGGGCGCGCATCAAGAAGCCATCTGCTTTTCGTCCAGGCACCCTGGGTTTCTTCGCTCCGCGCGCTGCGCGGTGACTTCCCGCAACCGTTGAAGAAGCTGCTGCGTTCAGGATGCTCAGGTTTTCACCTCGCGCGCGGGTTTTCAGGGTCGGGTTTCTTGCGAAGGTTTCTTGCGGCCGCGCCCGCACTGTACTCGCAAAGTGCTTACTCGCAAGCGTCCGAAAACACACGTCTGCCTCGATGTGATGCATCGCAAATCCCCCATGGCGGATCCAGGCCATTTGCGAGCAGTTCTTCTGTGAGTAGTGGAGCGCGCTCGTCGAGTCGGGCCCGCCGCCTCGGTGAGACGGATGAGCTTTGCCGGCGTCGTCCACGCAGTCGAGGTGCACCACGGACTCACCGTGCCGCACCACGATCCGTCGGCCTCCCTGGGCCGCCCAGGCCGTCCCCCGCCCGCGCCCGCGCCGGGGGGCTTGAGCCAGAGTGGTTGCGGACAAGAGGAGGGGTGGAGGAGGAGGAGGAGGAGAAGGAGGAGGAGGAGGAGGAGGAGGAGGAGGAGGAGGAGGAGGAGGAGAAGGAGGAGGACGGAGGATGGAGGACGGAGGACGGAGGACGGAGGAGGAGGAGGACGGAGGGACTGAGGACGGAGGCAGGATGAGGACGGAGGGAGGAGGAGGACGGAGGGAGGCAAGAGCGGACGAGTCGTGCCCCCCTCTCTCTCTCGGCTGCGGTGGCGCGCCCGCCGCTCGCCTCGCGCGGCCGAGGTGCCCGACCAGAAGGTCCGCGAGTGGAGCGGCTCGGTCTTCGAGTACCTCGACTGGTGGGTCCACGAGGACGCTCTCTTCTTTGTCGAGGCAGAACAGCACCATAAACATAAACTTTTTGCGCTCCGAGCGGATTTTTTGGACCCGCGCTGGGCCCCCCTGGCGGCGCCTCTGGCGCCGCCCTTGGCGCGCTCCGGGCGCCAGGGAGGAGCGTCCAGCGCAGATCCTAGAAGTCCGCGCGGAGCGCAGGGAGGAGCGTCCAGCGCAGATCCTAGAAATCCGCGCGGAGCGCCAAAAGTTTATGTTTATGGCGTTTTTTCTTCTTCTATTGTGAATCGGCGTCGCCCTAACATACTAATACTATGTGTGCGTCGCCCCCCCCCAGGGGCGTCGCGCGCATCGAGAAGTCTTACAGTATGCGCGTCGTGGCGGGCGCTTTCTGGCCACACCGCGCGGTAAACGATGCACTACCAGTGCCTGTATGCTACATGTTCGGGTCGGACGCGCGCCTCCAAGGAGAACTTCTAGTACTAGCATGCAGTATGTCTTTGCTTTGTGCGTCCCGTTGGAGGTCTGAGGTGGCCCGGCGCTGGTTCCAGCCGGCAGGGAAAAGGGGGGGGGGCGAGGGTCGAGGTGCTGGCTTCGGGAGGGCTCCCTGCCTCGTTCGGCCTCCTGGTGCCGGGTTTCGGGCCCCAGGGCCAGCAAGCACGGATCCGAAAAGCTGCACCAGGTGGGCCCCAGGAGTCGACTACACGTAAGAGTGACCTTTCGCCGGAGTGACCTTAGGTGCGGGCTCATCGGGCCCCCCCCGATCGCCGAGCGCGATGCGACATGAGCGGCCCGCGTCCTTGGGTTTGGCTCCCTGGCGCCCCCCAAAGCTGCGCACCAAAGGTCACTCACTCTTACCCAGGGTCACTCTTACGCCTAGCCGAAGGAGGGGTCCTGGGAGCGGTCCTGAGCGGATTTGGCTTCGTCCCTTCGCGCGGTAGATCTTCCGGGGCCCCATCCGGTTCAGACCCCCTGGCCGCCTCCCAAACGAGGACGCTCCCCTTGGAGTCGGGCGCTGCACCAGAAATTGCTTTTTTTTTTTTTTTTTTTTTTTTTTTTTTTTTTTTTTTTTTTTTTTTTTTTTTTTTTTTTTTCCCCCCCTACCTAGGCTCTGCCTAGAAGGGTTCTTACTGTGCTTGCTTAAAGGGGCCGGCAGTGGGGCTCGCCCGGGGCGGTTCCCCCAGGATCCGCCCCGCGGTTCCCCCAGTTACGTCCCCTCAGTTTAGCGTTGCTTATCTCATCTTAGCTTAGCCTAGCTTAGCCTAGCTTAGCTTAGCTTAGCTTATCTTAGCTTTAGCCTAGCCTAGCTTAGCTTAGCTTAGCTTAGCTTAGCTTAGCTTAGCCTAGCTTAGCTTAGCTTAGCTTAGATCAACTTAGCTTAGCTTAGCGCAGCGCAGCATTAGCATATCATATCATATCATATCATCTCATACATATCATAGCAGTCGCACAGCATAGCATAGCAGAGCGCAGCACAGCATAGCGCAGCATAGCATATCATAGCATATCATAGCACATCATATCATAGCATAGCGCAGCATAACATAGCATATCATATCATAGCTTAGCTTAGCATAGCACAGCGCAGCATAACATAGCATAGCATATCATAGCTGTAGATGTAGGTGTAGGTGTATATGTGGATGTAGGTGTAGGTGTAGATGTAGATGTAGGTGTAGATGTAGGTGTAGATGTAGATGTAGATGTAGATGTGAGTCTCGCTGTTGATGTTGATGTAGATGTAGATGCAGGTGTAGATGTTAATGTAGCTGTCGGTGTAGATGTAGATGCTGCTTTCCTAGATGCTCCAACTCCTAGGTAGGGTCGCACTGGGATAATCTTTGTTTCCGGCTTGCGGAGGCCGTTTCCAGACCCCAGGACCGTCAACAAAACGACTCGGGATGAAAAGCCAGTCCAGGGTAAGTGGTCGAGATCCCTGGGGCTGACGTCTCAGAAGGGGCAACACCATTTGCCGCTGTCGCTCGCGTGTGCTGTGTCTCCTCCTGCTCCTCCTCCTCCTCCTCCTCCTCCCTCTCCTCCTCCTCCTCGTCCTCCTCGTCCTCCTCTTGAGCCGACGGTTGCACGGAGGGACTCCAGTGCATCGATTCCGTTGCACGCAGGTCGATACTGAACTTCAGGCGATTTCCCAGTCGATGAGCAAAAAACGTTGCAGCGTCGGAGGGACGGGTTTGTCAGCACGCGGAAGACTCCCCTTTCCGGTGCAAGCGTTAAGTCGGGCATGTCCCTCTTACAGGAGGAAACGTCAAAAATAGTCCAACGTCGGTATATTCGCAGGCCTAGCGGTTGACACTAACGCCAATTTCGGCGGTGTGCCTCGAAGACGATCCCGATCTCGGTGATGGTGGTAATATTCTGGCTTCCAAGGTGGCCGACATATCACCACCAACACCGAAATCTGAGATCATCTTCCCCCCACGGAGGCCAACCCTCTCTGGGTGTTGGTGCCCCTTTCCAGGCCTCCAGTATACGCCTGCTCTCCCGCGCTCGGTTCGTCGAGAGGGTCCACGGGTCCCGAGGGGCGCGAGGCAGCCACGACGGGCCTCTTCGCCCCGAGTTGGGCCCCGGGGCCCTCGCGGACGGAGCCAGCTCGGGAGGTCACGCCCACGGGCGTGCTCCTGAACTCGGCCGTGTTTTCAACGGCGCCGCGGTTTTCGTCGCAGCGTCGGTCCCCGCGGGAGGTCCTCTCCCCCCTCCAGGCCAGCCAGCCAGTGGCGGGGGCAGGGGCCGTGTCCTGGCTCTGCCTCGAGAGCAGGAGTCTTACAATGCAACTGCTGGAAGGTTAGATTGCTGGCAGATCGTTGGTAAAAAACAAGCCCAAACTGGCATGCTCCCGCTCGTTTTTTTCCGAATCCCGTGTAATTTGGATTGATCGCGCTTAGGCCTCAGCCCGATTTGGGCTGATCGGGCTTGAGGCCCCCCGCCTTAGCTTTGCCGAGTAGCCTTCAATTTGTCTTACGAAGACTTTGCAGGAGTTGCCTCCTAAAAGGAACGCGCAAATCTAGCCTTTCGGACGTGTCCGGGCGGTTTCCCTGCTTTCTGTTGGCGCCAAAGCGCCCCCCCCCCCCAAAGCGAAATCACTGTGCGAGGGAGATGGATGTGGCCTGGCTGATCTCGCTGCGTCCCATGGCTGCGCCTGCTTCGCCATTTGATGCCCGAGCGTGCGAGACCTGCAGCACAGCGCCCGGGCAGGCAAGTACGCGTCAGGAGGTTGAAGTGGCGGCCCGGGCGTCGTGCTGTGTGGAGTCTGTGCCGAATCGCCGGCTTGGAAACAGTTCTTCGCGACGTATTTGCGGGCAAAACCTGTATCCATGTCCAGAGCGTCGTGGGCTTGTTGGGAAGGGGTGCCGCAAGGCCGAGCCACACTGGATATGGACAAACATCAGAAACCTTCTGGGGTAGGATTCTTGTCCGTATCCAGTGCGCCTCCGGTTTCTGGGGAAGAGAGCCCAGAGCTCCAAAGACGCACTGGATGTGGATATGATTATTGCCCGCAGTAATGTCGACTGGCATTTCCCTTCCCCCCGCGCCGGCGCGCGTGGTGCGCCGCGGCCAGCGCCTGTGGGGAGGGGCCCAAGCTCTGGCGGAGCAGCTGTCAGCGGCCGTCCGACAATTTGTGTGCTTCGGTGGACTTCTGGCTCTCTGCTTTCCCCAGGCCCCGGCGACGTCCATCTGCACGAACGAGATGGGCACGGAAAGAATGGGTACAATGCTCAACATCAGTTCTTCTTCATTTTGAAAAAGACTCGCTGTCCGCGCCGCCGCGGCCGCGTGTGTCCATTTGAGACAGAAGTCCGCCTGCCAAACAGCGGCCGCTGTTGATTCGGGACAACATTTGCTGTTGGGCATTGTGCCCATTTTTTCCGTACCCAATTCGGGCGTCCAAAGTCCACATGGCGGGAAGGGGGGGTGGGGGGAGTCCATTGCAAAGTCAGGGGTGGACAGGCTCAGGGGGGGATGCATATACCCCCAATCGCCCATTGATCGCCGAGAAGGGGCTTTAATGGCCCACCCCGCCCGGGAATGTGCGGATTCGCCATCAGGGGCCCGTCGCCGAGCTATCGGCGACGTATCGCCGATTCCAGGTCGATGTTCCCCCCTTGAGCCGGTCAGATGGGGTCGGAGGATCGCACCGCATCGCGGATGCGGCCTGATCCAGAGCGCGATTTTCTCCATCCCGATGACGCCGATGCATCGTCGATGCGGCGCACTTATCCAGCCCTATTTACTTCGACCGTATTTGGGAGGCCTCCAGGGAGGGGGGGGGGGAGGGATATTGAACCGCAAACGCCACCGGCACACCAACATGCCTGGCCAGGGCCATGCTGGGCTTCAGCGTGGTGTGTAGACCCCCCTGGCCTCTGCCAGGAGGGCACACCATCCTAGGGCCCAGGATGACCCTGGCCGGGCATGGTGGTGTACAGGTGCCCTCCGCGTCATTTAGTCTTTTTGACCATCGGGGCGTGACGGGTCCCCTTCAGTGGCCCCGGAGTGCACTCGCCGAGGAGAGCCAGCACCGCGGGCGCCTGGTAGGCTACGTGGAGGTCTACGATTTCAAGGGCGTGAGCCTGCGGCAGGTCATGTCAGGTGACCTTCGCGCCAAGGCTCGCTCGGGGGGCGAAGGGAGGAGGAGCCTGGATAATATGATGATGGATGATGATGATGATGATGATGATGATGATGATGATGATGATGATGATGATGATGATGATGATGGTGATGGTGATGGTGATGGTGATGATGATGATGATGATGATGATGATGATGATGATGATGGTGATGATGATGATGATGATGTTGATGATGATGATGATGATGATGATGATGATGATGCTGATGATGATGCTGCTGATGATGATGATGCTGCTGTTAATGCTGCTGATGCTGCTGATGATGATGATGATCATGATACTGATGATGCTGCTGCTGATGAT